GTTGGATTATCCGTTGTGGCGGTACTATCTGCAGGTACGGTTGGATTACCCGTTGTGGCGGTACTATCCGCAGGTACGGTTGGATTATCCGTTGTGTTGGTACTATCCGCAGGTACAGTTGGATTATCCGTTGTGGCGGTACTATCTGCCGGTAGCGTTGGATTATTCGTTATGGCGGTAGTAACTGCAGGTATCGTTGGATTATCCATTGTGGCGGTACTATCTGCAGGGATGGTTGGATTACCCGTTGTGGCGGTACTATTCGCAGGTACGGTTGGATTATCCGTTGTGGCGGTACTATATGCAGGTACGGTTGGTTTACCCGTTGTGGCGGTACTATATGCAGGTACGGTTGGATTACCCGTTGTGGCGGTACTCTCCGCAGGTACGGTTGGATTATCCGTTGTAGAGGTACTATCTGCCGGTATCGTTGGATTATCCGTTGTGGCGGTAGTAACCGCAGGTATCGTTGAATTATCCGTTGTGGCGGTACGATCCGCAGGTATGGTTGGACTATCCATTGGGGTGATAGTATAACAATAGGTCAGTGACTTTGCCGTTGTAATGGTACCATCTGTAGGTATCGAGAACTTCTCCGTTGTGGCAGCATTTATATTCGCAGGTACGGTTGGATTATCCGTTGTGGCGGTACTATGCGCAGGTATCGTTAGATTATCCATTGTGGTGGTACTATCCTCAGGTATGAGTGACTTCTTCGTTGTGGCGGTACTATCCGCAGGTATCGTTGAATTATCCGTTGTGGCAGCACTAGCCGCAGGTACGGTTGGATTATCCGTTGTGGCGGTACTATCTGCAGGTACGGTTGGATTACCCGTTGTGGCGGTACTATGCGCAGGTATCGTTAGATTATCCATTGTGGTGGTACTATCCTCAGGTATGAGTGACTTCCTCGTTGTGGCGGTACTATCCGCAGGTGTCGTTGAATTATCCGTTGTGGTAGCACTAGCCGCAGGTACGGTTGGATTATTCGTTGTGGCGGTACTATCTGCAGGTACGGATGGATTACCCGTTGTGGCGGTACTAGCCGCAGGTACGGTTGGATTATCCGTTGTAGCAGTACTATCCGTAGGTATCGAGGACTTCTCCGTTGTGGCAGCATTTATATTCGCAGGTACGGTTGGATTATCCGTTGTGGCGGTACTATCCGCAGGTATTGTTAGATTATCCGTTATGGTGGTGCTATCCTCAGGTATGAGTGACTTCTTCGTTGTGGCGGTACTAGCCGCAGGTATCGTTGGATTATGCACTGTGGCGGTACTATCCGCAGGTATCATTACATTATCCGTTATGATGGTACTATACTCAGGTATGAGTGACTTCTTCGTTGTGGCAGTACTATCCGCAGATGTCGTTAGACTGTCCGCTGTGGTGGTAGTATCCGCAGATGTCTGTGACTTCTCCGTTGGGTTTTCCGTCGGCTTCACCATTGTGACACTTTGCACCTCTTCTTCTTGTTCCTTTCTTTCAGTGTCTCGAACACATTTATACAAAGAATCCGAAAACACTTGACCCGGCCAGCATTCTGCTTGAATGAATGTAGATAATCGACACAGGTTGTAACGCGTTTTGTTTTCTTTATCAACTCTTAGGAACTCAGTTGGACATCTTTTATGGGAGTTGATAGATATGATTCTACCGCCTCCAGGAAATCCGAGACAGCGGCCCTCCGCCTCATCGTAATATTGATTGTGGACACAGTATGTGATACGGCTCACTGGCAAATGAGGATTTTTGTACTCCTTCTGTTGATATTTCAGTGATACCTTTCAACAAGTTTTCAACAATTTACAACACATGAATTTGAGAAAAAATGCTATTAACTAGTTTCGCTACTCACCCGAGGGAAAGTTCTACCTACAACTATACTTTACTTAACTGACATAATTTCCCTCTATATTTTTCATCTTTCTAAAAGTGAAAATTTTTGAGTACAGTTATACATGATGATTACTCACTACTCGACTTCCCGTTGCTAGACTCCATGTGTGCAGAAAAATAAGTAGAACAAAACCCTTCATGACTGAGACGATTAAATTAGCCTACTGTATAACAGTCGAAGAAATAATGATCACGGCATTTTTTTTTCCTTAAATAATATGTAGCAATGGCCAGTCATGCCCGCTATAATAAACATCGCAATCATTTCGAATTCTTCAATTTTTTTGTTGGTGTTACACTGGATAAAATGACAGTTTTTGAATTGATCGTCACGTAAACCTGAAGAATGTCTGTCGAATACATGTAATTATTCTCATACCGTATCGCAGTATTTTTTTACCGCAATAAACGCGATTATTTATTTATAATATTTATTCAGTTTATCATATGTATCTCCATATAAATTACAAAAAATTTTAAAGCCATAAATTTATTTCCCAACAATTTTCATATACAGAATGATAACTTTATTCACAATTATTAATGAATTAATGTAACAGCCGTTATCACCAATCCTCTTGTGGCACTTTGTACGTAAAATTATTGCTACTGATTATGTTAATACCAGCCCCAAAATACGGCATCACGTAGTGCGAGCCATCGGCGGGCCCAACAATTTGTGTTGCTATCAATATAACATCACAGAATTGTCCCAGAAATAAAAATCCAAGTGTGCAGAGTTTCAAAAGACCAATTGCAGGGTATCCTAGATAGAATCTATCTGCCCCAAACATTCCCAGGAATATCGATAGCAATACTGATGTTTCGAATGAGTAGCCGTTGCTAAAAATTATATATTCATTTGCTCAAAATTGAGTTTTTTCCCTAAGTATTAAATAATCATCTGTAATATCCCAAGAGATTTAAAATTACAGTAGACTCCCGTTATAGTTGTGTGCACGGGACTGCAGATGAAGCGACCGTAAACGGATTTTTTTATTCAGAAATTGAGGAAACGTGCGACTATAACGGCATTCTACTTTATCGGATAACACTTACGTCCATCGACACGGAATTTCCCTCTGGAATGTATTATTTCTAGATTCTGTACAAATCAGTCCATCAGCTGCTAGGCACAAAACTAGCAATAACAAATAAAAAAGAAAAGGAATGCAATTAGAAATTGGATAATTCACCTCGACTGAGATATCTCTGTATATTAAAAATTTCTTACTTTTGGCTTTATTTTCCTTCGTGCAGCCCCTCGGTTGTTGTGTTTTAGGATCAATCAAATCATATTCAGGATGTGGACAAATATATTGTCCTATTCTTAGGTTATTACAGTCTATTTCGTATGTGTAATCGACACAGTCTCCTACTCGCGTCATTAATATTGAACACATAATCACGTACTTGATTAGTGAATACATTGCCCTACCATTTTATTTATTTTTTGCAATCATGTTATGAATTCATTCACGTAGAAATTACTACTGAGACGTCAACATTAATAAGAGAATAAAAACAATGCACTCGACATAATTTTTGAGTGAGGAGATGTCGCTGTTGAGTTGCTTGTGAATTTCTAACCTCAGTGATCGGTTATTGTTGTTTTGTATCAGGCACCAATCCATGATTTATCATTGCTTTGACGATTAACAATAATTTCAAGTTATTTTGGTGAGTTGGGAAAATGAGGATCGCCGTGGAAGGTTGCGCTCATGGGGAACTGGAGATAATTTACAATGCTTTGGAAGAAATTGAGAAAAATGAAGGGAAGAAGATTGATTTATTGATTTGTTGCGGAGATTTTCAATCAACTAGAAATCTTGATGATCTCAATTCCATGGCTGTCCCTGATAAATTTAAGGATATGTGTACATTTTACAAGTGAGTATCATTTTATTGTTGTCAAATAGTCTCTTTTGATTTTTTTGACTTTCAGCATGAAATAAATAATAATCCTTTCACGATTAACATCGATATCTCCCAATCTGAAAGGGGCACCGAAAGTTTCATCATTCTAAAATATCTTGAAAGTAAAAAATAATTTTCCAGATATTATTCAGGGGAGAAAATTGCCCCAATCCTTACGATCTTCATTGGGGGCAATCATGAGGCCTCGAGCTATCTCCAAGAGCTCTCCTACGGTGGCTGGGTGGCCCCAAAAATATATTACCTGGGACAAGCAAATGTTGTAAATATTGGGGGCCTTAGGATAGCTGGGATATCAGGAATATACAAAGCAAAGCATTATCTGAGGGGTCATTTCGAACTGCCCCCCTACAATGATTCCACCCTTCGCAGTGTCTATCATATTAGAAATCTCGAAATATTCAGGCTACGACAACTCACTGGAAACATCGACATCTTCCTCTCTCACGACTGGCCCAATGGTGTTACCAAATTTGGTGACGAACAGGCCCTTTTGAGACGAAAAAAACACTTCAAAGACGACATCGCTGCTGATCAGCTCGGCAGTCCCCCCTCCATGGATCTGTTGACTCAACATCATCCCAAATACTGGTTCTCAGCTCATCTTCACTGCAAATTTGCTGCCATTATCCCCAACGAGGACAACTCCAGGTCCACCAAATTTCTAGCTCTCGACAAGTGTCTAGCAAAGAGACCATTCTTGCAGGTTATTTTAAAATTATTGTAAATAATTACAATATAAAGTATTTTTCGAGTGAGATAATTTGAGTTTTGGTTTCGTTGCAGGTCCTTGATATTCCTCATGACGAGAATGCCTCGATGGATCTGTCTTACGACCTCGAGTGGCTGGCCATTTTGTACTTAACGAATCATTTGTTATCTGTAAAGAATTCAATTCAGTATATGCCGGGACCAAAGTGCAGAGGTAGATGGAATTTTTCACCATCGGAGAGTGAAAAGGAGAGTGTCCTGAAAAGGTTTTCGGGGTGCCTAAAGATTACAGAGAATTTCGAGAGGACAGTGGAAGCGTATGTTCCAGGATCACCCGTAAAATATGCGAAAAGGTCTAATGAAAAGTTCAAAACTAATAAACAAACCACGGATTTCTGCAATAAATTAGAGATTGACGACCCCCCAGGGTTATTATTAATTATGCAAGGAGGCGAGTCTAAGACTGAGAATGGAGAGGAATTTTCTCAGTCGTTCAATTCCATAGGGGACGAGCAGGACATTTCTGCAAGTCTCGATGATGATTTGACGTACGAGAGTGACCTCACCTTCGAGGCTTCCCTCAATGATGACTCGGGGTTGAGGGATGAAGGGGAGGAAAGTGGAGGGCGGGATTGCGATGAACTGAGGGACGAAGGCGAGGGGGTTAGTGAAGTGCAATCTCCGATCGAACCGAATTTGAAAAAATTCAAGAGACGAAACCTTGCAATTTATGCAGATACCACTGATATTGACTTATAATTTTCTTACTTTAAAAACTGTTTCGTCGTTCTTTGTAAAAAATAAGAACACACGTATAGGTAAACTCCCCTTTTTCAATAGTGAAGACAATTTGATATTCAGAAATAAAAACAAGAGTAAATAGGTTTTATAAAACTTTATTTATCGACATCCTCTTGGAACATCTGTAAGAAACGATATAAAACGAAAAATTAGAAATTAAATCACGTATTCAGTGCGGCTTGGGTGATTTTCTATTGGGGTTTACTCCCCAGTGGCTCTTGTGCCTGCTCAGAAGTTTTTTGAAAAACTAAGACAGGTGGATGGGATGCCAACCCCTACCAAGAGTTCACAGCCAATTACTGTTATTACAATATTTTTTGTAATATTCTCAAATCACTCATGACAATATTTACTCGTAATCGTATCGCGCCATTTTAAAATAGTTGTTAATTCATTCGAGGAAGAAAAAATGATCAAAACAGCAATTAATATTGTAATGAAAAATTGACTACGAACTCAATACCCACCATTTATTCCTCCGGGACCTCCACTTCCCCAGAGTTGACGTCGTCGATGACATCATGTGGTGGTCTTCCCTCAATGGTGCAACCGACTGATTGACAGGTGCCAAGAATCTCCTTGACAGTTCCACTGAGCTGCCTTGACATAGAGCGTGGCTTCATTGCTCGTGCAATTGCAAGAACATCCTCGAACGACAGATTTCCACTGTGTTTGATGTTCTTTTGCTTTTTCCTGTCACGGGGGGGCTCCTTGAGGGCCTTGATGATGAGCGAAGCTGCGGATGGAACCACTGAAATCGTCGCCTGTCGGTTTTGAATCGTCAATTGGACAGTGATCTTCAGACCCTTCCAGTCACTCGTGGCTTTCGCAATGTCGTCACCAACTTTTTTCGGCGACTAAAATGAGCGTTTAAAAAATTACATTTTTAAAAAGTTTTTAACTTTTTTCAGCATGGATTTTGGAAACTCACCAAACCAAGGGGACCGATTTTCGGGGCAAGAGAAGAAGTAGCTCCTACTTCACCTCCAACACATCTCAAGTACACTGAAAAATAAACGGGGAGGTTAAGTCACACATGTTTTCAATAAATTTCGACACAAACAATTTAAAAAATTCTATCAAATAAATACCCTTCTTGACCTCATTGGGATCGAATTTTGGTGGCATTTTTAATGCTGACTAAAAAATTTGTTGATCCACGGGACTGATGTAATCGGATGAAAATTATGCAGTACCGCACAGTTCCCGATTCAGTGTCGAAAAGAAAAGGAAATGCCAGCAGAGACTATAGGGGAGATCAACAGCGCTTATGGCAAAAGTTCAACTAGCGGCGGCTACGAAACTACATGAGAGGACGTACCCGTGAATAAGACAGGGCACGCGAAAATGGGGAACATGAAAATGGAGGAAAATAAGTGGGAAATTTCATTCTGTTTCATTTACTCTCCAGGCTTCTTAAAAACATTTAATAAATTGAATTATGAAAAATAAATGGAATTTATCTTATTTGATAATTTGTTTTAAATATTCATGATAACTTTTACAAAATCATAACCTATGATGTCTGGGATTGTACTGAATAATACGCTTGTTGGAAAAAACAATCAGATTGACTCATGCACTTGCAGAGGTGAGTCAAAAAAATTGAGTGTATCCCAGGATTCGGCTATGGGTTGCAAAAGTGTGCAATCAGTGTCCTGATGGGGATAACATGGGTGCCACCAGTCCAAAACCTTGCAGTCGACAACTCCACTGAGGATGACAACTTGGGTCGGTATTTTTGGTATGAAACTCGTGCCGAAGCTCAATTGAAGTCGATGGTGGTCGAAACTAGGGGATAAATCAAGCTTGACTGTTTGGAGGACAAGGCCAATGACCAAAGGCACCAAGCTATATTTCAAACAAGTTACCTGCAGATAAATATATTATCATTAGTTTTTTACAATTAAAATGAATTCTCGGAGAAGAAAAACTTCCGAAACAAAAGACAGACTAGTTTAAAACAAAAAGGAGAAATAAGGGGGCAATTAATTTATCTGAAATAACTTCAACTTACTCGTAAAATTCGACATCCTTTCTCTGAATTCACTGAGACATCCTCAAGCATTTCCGTGATGTCTGATCTCTGGTCATCAGCCCAATGGATTTTTGGTTTTGTCACGCGAGAATTATTTATTTCCTTCAGTTTGAAATAAAAATACCAACGAGTCTCTCCTTTCTAGTCGCCGAATTAATGGATGAAAGCCATTGGAATTTTTTTTAATTCTTCAATTATAACATCACAGCAATAATTAATGTGAAAACTTACTTTATTCCACATGAGACTGCACTGTCTCTTGACCAACGAATGAGGCTCCTCTTGTCCAGAATAAGTGTTACGTCCAATTGAAGAGAAATAAGTAAAATGCAGCGTCCTAATTACACAAGCCCGCAATCCATAGGGGCGTACCATGCACGCTGGGGTCAACCTCTCAGGTAAGCTTCCAGTATTTTTATAAAATCTGTGTCAATCCAAGAGAGGGCAAAATGAGAAATTGAAAAATTCAACGCACAATTGCTAATATAATACATTGGGTATTATCGACCTTTTGTAAAGATGAAACCAAAATTTAGCGGTTTGAACAACATAATTTGAACATTTGCAAATCCTCGCGAATTTTCCCACTGCTTCAGGTGCGATGTGTTCTGATATTAAAAACCATACGTCCTCTGGATATTCAACACCTGAAAACATAAATCTCATGACATTCGGGGATGATTTACATCATCATATTATTTAATATCAATTCTATTTATACCATTGGCATTATCTTCTGGAGCTTCAACAGCTTTGCTTTTTCTCCTCGATCGCGGATTCTTCTTCATTTGTTCATCTAAAAAAATTTAGGCAGTTCTTCGAATGAATTTTCCTCCCGTATAATAATTAACAATATAACACTTTCGTAATTCTCCCAAAGGAATATCTTCCCTTTTATCTTTCCTGTCTTCGAGATTTTCTGCTCTTCATAATTTCATAACAATAGGATACATTTTTGCTTCACTTAGACAATATTTAAACGTTTTAATTTATATCATTGTATCGCAAAATATTTGATTGGTATAATTACAACGATATTCAGTCAGTCTAGTAAGATTTTGGGATTGATGTAACTAACCTACAACTGCGGATTGTGATCCTGCGTCGTTTTTTGCAGCAGCCTTTTTCAATCTATTATGAACACCCGTTGAATCTGCGAAGTCACTGATGGTAACATCTGGAGGAAGTCATTGATAATCAGGGAAATGGAAATGGAAATGGATTAATTATTTGAGTGATAATGACCTCCGGAAAAAGAATTTGGCTTCTTCCTGGGTGTGAGTTTTTTGGTAGCCTTCTTTGTCGGTCCTGGCATTTTTTTACGAAAAACCTAATGTTGTTGGATTCTCCACTCGTCACAAGCATGATTTAGTATTTGAAGTACAAGGTAATAATGAGGGTGAAATAAGAGGTAGAGGTGGTGAAAAAAAATCACCGGAGTCCTCCATCGTCGATACAATTTCGAAGACTGAATCACTGAATCTCAACTCATATTTTTTACGAGGCATAGAGAGAGAGAGGGAGACGACCAGATGGAAGGTTGTCAACATAATCGATGCATGGATTGTTCGATTATTAATTATCGAATGTAAAATTAAAAAAATTTAATAGCCTTCTTCATTATTTTAAAAACCATGGATTCATTTGTTTATACACACAAAAATGTAGTAAAGAGGTGGAACGAGGAGAGAATACTAAAATACAGGAATTTTTTCGTAACAGTTTTTATTGAGCTGAAAATATTTCAATAAATCACGTGATTGAAGAAAAATGAATTATCCATGAGAAATAGTAATGCTATCTTTATTATTAATCTTCAATATACTAAAAAATGAGGCACATAGCACTTGTAACAATTGATATTACACGCCTAATTAACGAAAATATGATGACTCGGATGTTTAAAGAATATAACGACATTAATAATTATTAAAAATTTGTCTGTACCTATTTCATTCATTTTTCGGATATTCGAAGTTTAATAATTACATGAATCCACTTAATCTTTCATCTCAAATATATGAAACATGAGAGTTCATTTATATTACCTTGAAAATCTATAAATTTATCGCGTAATTTTTTCGTTTTCTCACAATTATTGATAATATTTATTCATCTGTATTTTTATTATAAAAAACAAACTTATCAGTTTAACTACAGTGCTTTCCATATTCTCTTCAATTTTTCTTGGTTATTCGTTAGACATCGGCTAAAATCAACGCGTTCTAGTATTATTTGGTTGATTACCGATTGTGTCACACCTTCTGTAATAAAGTAAGTATGGTACGCGTGGTGGGGATGGATTCAACACGTCATTCTCGGATATACCTTTGACAGAACTGTCGTCGTAACGCACCCACGCACCAAAACCCACGTGAAATGCATCTGTTAGGTAATGACCCTTTGTTGCCTCTTTTCCATCGTGATACGTTACAGCGAATAGTTTATACTGTTTCTGTTTGACTGTCAATTTTTTCGTGGCATTTGGTGATAAAATTTTGCCATCAATTTTCAGATCAATGGAATAGGCAACATTTTTAAATATCTTGGAACAGCCATCGAGTTTATAATCAAACCATTTTAAATGGAGGATAAGGATGACTGGAAGCTCCTCGAGTGTCACCTGTTTCCACGCCTGAATCTGCTGCTTTGTTTTGCTGCAGGTCATGCCTTCAACTTGATCTTTCCCTACAAGAATCTCTAGGGCACCTCTCACTGATTCTGCTTTCTGTAATAATCAACCACTCGTAATCAGAGACGAAAATTCTCGGGTTCAATTGAAAAGACTCACCTCAATGTCTAATTGAAGAGTAAAAAAGGGTTGTACATTGTCAGTGCTTTGATCACCCTGACGTAGAATTCTTGATCTCAATTGGCCACGGAAGATGTCCGACAGAGGGGTGCGAGCAAATTCAGTGCAACGGGTTATCGAACCCTTGTTCTTTGGACCCATCACCTATGCAAATAAATGTAAATCATTATTTATAAAATCTACGAGTAATAAATATTTTTGATTAATTATTTTTGCTTTATTCAATAGATTTACTTTCCACTCCTCATCCCCACTGTTGTAATTAACGTTCAACTCCTCGGTTCCCTTGGAGGTTTGGGAATCCTCACTCACTTGTTTCATCAACTGCGACAATATTCGATAATTAAGATAATTAAGGCATTCATTTAAATCGCACCACTCAATACATATTGATACATACCTCAAGCATTTCATCACTTATACCATTGAGTAAACACGATAGAAATTCTTCGGCATCCTCCTGCCTTCCCTCGATCGAGAAAACCCCCGGGGATGATGTATTCTTCAACATGGTGTAGACATACGAGGGCTCAAAGGCGGTGCCACCTTTGATGTCAAAGCTATCGTCATTCTTCTTCTGACCTCTGTCTTTTCGGTGTAGGCGTTCACCCTCGGGTAGAGGCAGGAATTCGTAAACAAATTTTACCCTTTAATTATATGAAAAGAGATCCTCATTATTATTAATTCAATAACGAAACCCTACAGCCACATTTCACATTTTTCACAATTCTACCCAAATTTTATTTACTCACATATTATCAATTAATGGAGTCGATGAATTTTTCAACGGATGCTCGGGGCGCGGCAGAGCCCTCAGGAGATTGTAAAACGGTGGACAGGCGAGTAATGCTTGTAATATACTATTGATATAACAATAATTGCTGCGATTCGTTAAGCCACGAGGCAGTAAACTTACAGTTTGCTTATCCATTTGATAATGGAGTAAAAATTCTGCAATCAAAATGCATTTGTTATTAATGTCACGGATATTTTTACCAATAATATTAGCTCCTTGGTATTATTACTCACCCCCCATTCTGTACATAGAAGGATGATTAAGCGGTGTCTGTACATGATCCACAGGGAGTGATTTCCTCTCCCCAAATCCAGCCTCCCCCAGGTGTTCATCCGTCGGTCTCTTACCCTCCTCAGTCCTCCCCTCCTCCCTGTCAACCCCATTATTTACACAATCCGCATTTTCCCGAACAGCTGGTGATAATTTGAACCCCTGACTCTGGGTGAAATTAGGGTGATTCTTCGTCTCATTGCTCTTGAGGATGCTGGCGAAGGTTTTGGCTGCAGGTGTCACACCGACACTAACTTCTTTCACTTCTTTGACTTCCTTGACGTCCTTGATCTCGTCAATCCTTCCAGAATCGTCGTCCTTCTCTCCATTTACCTCCGCCTGTACATCCTCGCCAGGCCCCTTAGCTGCAGTTAAAATTTCCTCTTCCTCAACAAGCTCCTTCATAATCTTCACCTCCTGCAATGGCCCATCAGATGCCTCCACCTTGATCTCGCTGACCACCGCCACTTCCTCGCCCTCACACTTTGTCTCATTCACAGTTCCATTACTCATGATTGTCTCAAAATTCTTATCCTCACTCTTAGGTACCGCCTCTGCACTCTCTCGCCTCACATTACTAACATTATCGTTATAATTATTATTAGTTTTATGATTCAATGCCTGACGGAATGACTGGGTGGCAGTGGTACGTTGGCTCTCGTAAATTTTTTTATCATTCTTCGTCCCCTGATTATATATTGGATTGTAATTTTGTGCATTTTGTCGTTGATGTTTTACTGTTGGCGAGTGCGGATGGTAATTTGTGGGTAGCTGGTGGTACTGGTGACTGTTGTGATGAATCTGGGAGTACTGGGGTTGGGGTATAAATATTGGCCGACCAGCGGTTGCATGCTGTTGGGAGGAGACGTATGGAAGATATGGAACTCCTGGGTGACATATTGCCTGGATCTGACTGAATTGGCCTGATTGCATCATGTAGGGGGGCTGCATGTCATTGGCAATTGGACGATTGTAGTTGTCAGTTTTTCTATTGCGCTGGCGACCTGGACGTTGGTTGTCTCGAACTGGCGATTGCGTTGTCAGGACTTCCGTTGGTTGAGGATTGTATATTGGGGATGGGTAGGGGACCGTGGAGACGTATGTGTAGGTGGTGGGATCGGTGGGTGTGGTGGGATAGGCTGTACTCATCTGCCAGTCCTGGTAGGGACTCATCTGCATGAGTGGAGCCCCTGGATAAGCTATGGTTGACATGGGGGGGGTCAGCAGGGCGGGTGGAGTCGCCACCTCGTAACTGGGGATGGAGTCGTCTGTGAGAAATCGGAGAATTCAAGAAGTCAAATCGAAATATTTCATCCGTGGAAAAACACTAACACCGGAAGCATAAAATCATCCCAACGCTCGACACATAATCCATGAAATTCGATATATTTACCATAAGGTTGCTGCCAGTGGTTTTGCACCTCCGGCTGCATTTCTGGCACGACCGAATTTGAATTATAATCTTTCTCGCCATTGTCCCAAGGTAATTTGAGAACATCTGAAGCAATCTCCGTCTTTAGGATAGTGCGGATCTCACTCTTGACATTATCATCGAGATTGTCCAGATTTATAAATTCATAATCGAGCTGCAATGGTAGACAACATAGCAGAGAAATGTTTAACATATATTTTTCGTCGAAAAAAATTTACGTAGAAAAGAACAGTCCAGTAAAGAATTTAGCAAGGGAACAGATCGCCACAAAAGATGAACCACCAATTTTACTCCAATTTTCCCCAATCGCCGACTGTGAATCATTCGAATGGCTTTTTCAAAATTACCAGTATCTTCTCATCAAATAGTGTGACTTGAATCAGTCGAGTCTCATTTGAGACCGGAAACAGACCCAAAATACCTTGAACTTCTCCAATGTATTCTCTATTTTTTTTTAAATGCTCTCTTCCCTTTCTCTATCCCCAGCAAGTGCGTCCATATCCTCCTCATCACGGAGAGCTACAATGGAGCTACACAGATAACCTCAAATCTCCTTCATCCCACCATCTGCTCCAAAAAAAAACCCTGAAATTCCGCTAATCTCTTCACTCAGTTAGAAAAAAAAGCACACCTAAAAAACTACATGAGAATTTACCAATGAAAAGTCCTCCTAAAAAAGAAATACCGAAACTCGACAAAAAGCCTAGAGTAAAAATCAAATAAGGAGTGATCACATGTTTCGAAAAATCAACATATTTTTCAAGGTTCGGGCATTCGAAAAAAATGACGCCAAAGTGGTATTAAAAAATATTACTCACTGTACTTTTGATGTCCATGTTAATGCCCATTCCTGTTTAGGTGACATTAAAATGTGATCAATGATTGAACCCCAAGAATAGGGTTATCATAGTAGATTTGTTTTAACGTCTACTTCACTCAGACACTGATTTACCATCAAAATTTCAGCACGTTGACCCTTGAACTCTATCAGCATCGAAGTTGAATACATTTGGGTGAAAAAAAAAAAACCAAATCTTCTGGCGGATTTATTTGACGATTAAAAATGTTGGAAGTTATAATTTAATGAATTCAATGAATTTGCACCATGTGTTTTTACACCGGAACTTTCATTATTGTTTGGTGTTAAGTAGTGGCCCTTTGGGGTATTGTTCGTTCTATAATTTCATCAACTGGAAATTAATACCTCCACAATCACTAGACCACGATGCGAGAAAAACCACACGGTACTTTTGGGATACCCCCTTGGTTAATTCTGGGATAACTTTACGTGCGTAATACTGAGATACCGCACGGGCAATTGGATTGCGGTGTGTTTCGTCGCCGGGTGGAAATGGCAAATTGGCGGCAACTCCCCAGGCATTTTTGAAATTCATAGGAAATCATTTTTATCCTAGATTTTTTTCCTTCCTAAAATAAATACTTTGCACTTTAATCAGAATCACATGGAATCATTGAGAAAATTCAACAATTTAGATGAAATGAAAAACAATACAATTTTTTCTTTACAAGAAAAAGTTTTTTAATGAAAAACATTAGGGTAGATATTAGGGAATGGTGAATCCAATTTATTTCTTGAATTTTTCATATCGTCTTCATTTTATAACTTTAAACCACAATTTTCACTTAAAATTTATGCCTGCTCTTCCATCTGACGAGCAGAACGTCATCATTCCGAAGAAGAATGTGCTTTGTATTAATAATAAAACGTGCTTTTATAGCATATATAAAATCGGCCTCTTTTTATAAATAACAAAATGGTTATCTAGTATTCTGATAATTCAATTCTACAGAATGAAGAAATTGTGCCTTTCCTTCAAAGATGTACAGTATCACATTATAATATGGAAGAGTACGAATTGGAATTGATCCACAATCAATACATCCACAGTGTTATACATTGTTTTTATCTTACAATAATTTTCAAATAATACTACAAATGTTTACATGTATGATACAATTTTAATACAGTAATGCATTCAGAATTTTTTCCAGAGATTCTTCATTCAAATTCCACTTCATAAGTTGGCAATTTACGAAAATGGTAAAATTGCTATTGATTGCTATTGAGCTAGATGGATAATTTTGGGTTACCATTTTGCTACTGAACTCGGCTGGAGAAATATCCAATGATTCATACAAGATATACACTCACTTTTACTTCGGCTTGCAATTAATTGATCTCTGGATTGTGAATATTATAGGACAATGAAAAAGCAACTGTTTTACCCGACTTCCCTCTAAATATAATACATTATAAAATTGTGGGAAATTCAAAAGTTTTTCGCTCTCGTGCTGTCATTTAAAAATTCAGTAGCGAAGTAATAAATTACTCACTGAATTCCAGTGGACATGAGAGTTAGTGTGACCTTATCGAGGCACATTATTTCCAAATATTCCCCCATAATAGTAATAATAGGAGCCCCTACTGTCAGACTCTCGCCAATCATTTTTCCCAGAGGAGCCACCCAAGTAGTAAAGTAGAATTGTTTTCTGCAAGAGCAAAAAGACACAGAAGGGAGTAAGAATGCCAATTATGTAGAAGAACTTTGGGCACCTAATGTCCTGCTAGAAATGAGGTAAGCACACTTTCCCAGCAAATAATTCAGATATGACGGTTATCCACAGGGCAAGGACGAATAATATGTAGGAAATTCCAACTTGATGGGAATTGGGGAGTTGATATGGCTGTCCCCCTATTTCGTCGACGTGGAAGCCCATGGGGAATATCACTGCTGCCAGGCAGAAAAGCACCACTGGAATTTTCAAGATATTCAACATATATATTAACTAACAGCTCATTTATTTATTTTCAGAGAGAAATTGTATTTCTTTATATGTAGAATATAAATGAGAATGACTTACTGGCTGTGAAACCAACCCATCTGGCGTAAGGAATAACGTGTCTATCCCAGTGGGAGCATGCCAGCAGTATTATCGTAACTGTTATCAAAATGCATCCCACAAAAATGCAGGCTAGAGCTATCAACCATTCTGGCTGCAAATCAGGTGTGTAACATATTTGGGGCCTGTTGTATAGAGTCATGCATGACCACATAAGTCCCAGTCTCGTATCGCCTAAAATTTTAATTTCACTATACAACAAATTATTCGGAACACAATTCAAGCCCATCCCAATACTATTAAATTTTCTTATTCTTTTTCCAAAACGGCGGAGTTAGCTAATTTATTATATCGACTCACCCCCAACATCAGTAATTATCCAATCTGGCATCGACAAACTCGCAACTGCAAATACATCAGCCGCAAAAAATAGTGTCCCAGATATTACTGTCAATTTATCCATTTTTCACAATTTCTTCACAACAAACACATCAAGTTGAAAATTAACCTCCAAAAATCTATCCACCTCATAACAACATGACTGTTCCATAAAACATTGAAAAATACTGTTTTCAGACACAATAAAATTTCACAATTATACGCGAATCTCCCAATTTTTTGACCCTTCCAGATTTTTCACAGCAATTTTATCCTTCAGTAATTGCCACAATTCAAGACTTTTGACATTTCAATATTTTTCTCCACTTGTTATTATTGTTGCGTGATACGATATCGATATTTTTCTGTTCGAGAGACGTTTTCTTAAATGTGAACTTTTTCCATTTGTTGCGTGAACGGGGATATTTTTTATGAATATAAAACTTGGAATTCATTGAAGGCCTAATGAAGATAGAATATATTACTTATTCGAAAAATCAAATCAGAATTTGTTAACTAATATTAATATTTCGTGAATCGATACTTATGGAGTCGATGCATTTTCGTATCGATATATCATATCACCATCTTTACGCTACCCTCTGGTGATGGTTACTGGCAGTGAACCCTCTTTACTGATTGGTTCCCCCCGAATTTTGAATTGTTTCAACGTCTTTGAAGGACTGCAGTTTAATCGAGTTAAAGGTGCCTATAAAAACTAATAAAAGCTCCAGAAAATCAAATGAAATAGATAAAGTGAGGGAGCCCCGCAATTAGGACGTCATGTACATCAAGTCGCTAGTACTTGATGGTTTCAAATCATATGGAAAGAGAATCGAAGTGAATGGCTTCGATAACGAGTTCAACGCCATTACCGGATTGAATGGCAGTGGAAAATCTAATATTCTTGATGCAATATGTTTCGTCCTGGGAATAACGACTCTTGGATCGGTAATCCAATTATTTTTCATGTACTTGAAGTCCTTGTTCTTGTTTTATTGTCATTTTTCTAATATCACAATATCGTTGGAATAATTATAAGGGACATATAACCTTATTCGAGACTGTTTTTGTTGTGGCGATTTGCCTGTCTATTTTTCATGTGCTATGGCTACATTTCCACGTCCAGTCAAATGGACAATTTATTTTTCAAATGATAACAAATAAATTAATTGAATTGAGAAAAAAAAATCCTATTGTAAGAAATACTTCTACGGCTCTTAATTATATATACGGAAATTGATAATAAAAAAATCTTGGAAGAATTTGTCGAAAAATAATTGTTTGTCAGGTGCGTGCGACGTCCCTTCAAGAGCTCGTCTACAAATCTGGCCAGGCTGGAGTAAAAAAGGCAACCGTGACAGTGACTTTTGACAACCGTGACAGAGGTGCCTCGCCTCTAGGTTACGAGCAATATGACGAAATAGCAGTTACCCGCCAGGTGGTGATAGATGGCAAGAATAAGTACCTGATAAATGGCACTCTGGTTCCTAATAAACGAGTCCACGACCTCTTCTGCTCGGTCCAGCTAAACGTCAATAATCCTCACTTTCTCATAATGCAAGGTCGTATCACAAAGGTACTAAACATGAAGCCTCTGGAGATTCTCTCCATGATTGAGGAGGCAGCTGGTACTCGAATGTACGAGGAAAAAAAAGAGGCCGCCATGAAGACAATCGACAAGAAGAATGAGAAGCTGAGGCAGATAAACGAAATCCTCCAAGAGGAAATTGGCCCCAAACTTCGAAAGCTCAAAGCAGAACGCGAGCTATTTGCCGAGTACCAGAGAGTTGAGAGAGAGTTGGATCACTGTCGCAAGGTCGTCATCGCCTGGAGGTACATTTCCACTGAGAAAAGCTCCAAAGAAGCTGAAAGGGGTGTCGAAGAGGTGCAAACTAAAATGGAAACGATAAAAACGACGATAGCAAATGGTAGAGCAGAGATCGAGGAGATTGACGTAACAATCCAGGAGGTCACGGCGAAGAATGAATCGGAGAAGGGAGAGCACCTCGAAATTTTGGAGCGACAACTCAAGGACTTGGAAAAAAAGGAGAGCCAGCTGGCCGCAGAGGCCAACAGTAATCAGGAGAGCATCAAGGCAGAGAGGAAAATAATAATACAACTTGAAAAAAATCTAAATGAGGACAGTAAAGCTTTAGAGGAGAAGAACCAGGAACTCCAGCAAGTTGGAGGACTATTTCAGCGGCTTCGAGAGCAGGACGAAACGGATCATGCAGCTGTGACAGCCGCCCAGCAGAGACTCCAGAAAATCACAGCTGGACTTCTGGAGAGTGACGATGGGGAGAATGCCACATTGGAACAGCAGCTGATAAATGCTAAGCAAAATGCCATCGCAGCGCAGACGGAAATCAAGCAGTGTCAGATGACTCTGGTTCATTCTAAAGAACAATTGAGTATTAAGGAGAATGAAGTGAAAAATAAAGACGTCGATTACCAGAGGGACAGCACAGAACTGGCAAACAGGGAGAACCAGCTGAAGGCAATCGAGAAGGAGATGTCGAGGATAAATTATGACGAGGCGACTTGTCAAGAAAAAAAAGAGACGAAACGAAGACTCGAGGGGGAGATTGCACAACTTCAGGGGAATATCGATGAAATTGAGAGTAGATATCCCAACTTGACGTTCCAATATACCCCACCGAGCCAGAACTTCAATAAGAATTCGGTTAAAGGCCCTGTCTGCACTCTTATGAGCCTGAGGGCGAAGGAAGCTGCTTATGCCCTGGAAGTGGCTGCTGGTGGCCGTCTCTACAATATCGTTGTGGATAATGAGACAACGTCAAAGGCACTTTTGCAATATGGCCAGCTGCGACAACGGGCAACAATAATTCCTCTGAATAAAATCACGGGGAGAGCAATTGATGACAAAGTTATTAAATACGCTGAGAGCTTAGTGGGGAAGGAGAACGTCAAGCCTGCGTTGACTCTCATTGATTTCCCCGAGATGGCTAGACCTGCCATGACGTGGGTTTATGGTCAGACCCTCATCTGCAAGGACATGCACATCGCTCGGAAAGTAGCCTTCAATGATAAAATAAATAAGAAGTGTGTGACTCTCGAGGGAGACGTTGTCGATCCTGCTGGGACCTTGACTGGAGGTGCACAGGCCAGGGGTGGATCTGTACTTGAACAGATTGATAAATTGAAAAATTATCAACACCAGCTGGAGCAGAAAAAGGTGGAGTACGAAGGGGTTAAACGAGAGCTCAGTCTGTTGATGCAAGTTGAAGAGAAGTATAGAAATGTTAAGCAGCAGTTTGATATCAAGAGTCATGAGGTCAATATGATCAAGCAAAGATTACACCAGACGACTCATCATCAGGTACAGGAGGAGATTAATTCTCTGCGTCAGAAGATCCAGGAGCTCAATGAGAAGATGGAGAATGCTAAGAAGATGGAGAAAGACAACTCCAAGAGGGCCACTGACCTCGAGGGACAGCTAAAGGATTCAGCGAATATCCGGGATAAGCAGCTGAAGAATGCAGAAAATCAGTTGAAGGTTCTCCAGAAGAAGGCGGATAACTCGAGAAAAGAGTGGGAGAAGCATGAACAGAGCTCTGAGACTTTGAATTTGGAGATTAAGGAGCTGGATAAGGCTATTGAGAATGGAAGAGAACAGCTGGTGAAGGCTGAGCAGAAGCTTCTTGAGTTGGAGAAGAAATCTTTAAATTATTCAGAGTTATTGAAGGAATCTCAGGGGACTGTTTCCGAGATCCAGAACAAGGTCAAAGCGCAGAAGGCGATAATCCATCAGCAGAACAAAGAGATCCAAAAGCTCCACTCAAAGAAGGAAGATATTATTAAAACAAATAGCGATCTCGAGTTGGAGATAAAGAAACTCGATCACGAAATCAATGCGATTCAGATTAATGCTGTACAGTGCAAGACTAAAGTGAAGGATCTTTTAAGGGAATATCCCTGGATCAGTACTGACAAAGTATATTTTGGAAAGTCGGGAACGATGTATGATTTCAGTGTGAATGAACCCGACTCGATGACACAAAAAATGTTACAGTTGGAGAGGAGAAGAAGTGAGTTGAGTAGAAATGTTAATAGCAGGGCAATGAGTCTTCTGAGTAAAGAGGAGGAGCGATTCGAGGAGACGTCCAAGAGAAAAAGAATCGTCGAGACTGACAAGAAGAAAATCCTGGAGACTGTCAAGCACCTGGAGGACAAGAAGAAAGAGACACTGGAAAAAGCTTGGGAGCAGGTGAACAAGGACTTTGGCTCCATATTCAGTAGTTTGTTGCCTGGAGCGATGGCTAAACTACAGAAACTAGAGAGTGGCAATGTCCTGGATGGGCTGGAAGTCAAGGTTGGCTTCACCAATATCTGGAAAGAGTCTCTGGGTGAATTATCAGGGGGGCAGAGGTCTCTTGTGGCACTTTCTCTGATTCTGGCAATGCTGTTATTTAAACCTGCCCCTCTTTATATTCTGGATGAGGTCGACGCTGCTTTAGATCTATCCCACACCCAGAATATTGGAACAATGCTCAAGAAACACTTCAAGCATTCCCAATTTATCATTGTATCCTTGAAGGATGGTATGTTTAATAATGCTAATGTTCTTTTTACTACGAGATTTGTCGATGGAATGTCTATGATTAGTAGAGCAGAAAAGAAGAAGCAACAAGGGGGAGCCCATTAGGGTGTGTGTGTCCGTGTGGAGGGGAAGAATTGCATTTATTTTTAGTACTTGATACTTCATTTGGAAGGGTGATTTGGAAGTGATTAGCTTCATTACAAATATTTTTTTAGTTACAATGACTCTGTATTGTTTCTGCCATTAGGTCGTTTCCGGTCCCTTTTTTCATAATTATTATTTCGTTGTAATTATTTTCAGATAAACTTTCTCTTTTGACCGTCTATTTTATTCCTTGAAATGTATTCTATAATTTATTTTTAAGGAAACCAAGAGAATTGATACAATAATTATAATTTTTCTTATGAATAAAAAAACAAGCTATAATTGGTAACAACGACAATACTTCATAACAAAAACAAATTCATAGCACGATTTTTTCACGAAAACACAAGAAAACGAGAACAGAGTAGTTGCGATAAGACTAGTGAAAATGTGTGATAAAGAAAATTCTACTGCATTGATACGAGATTTATCTTAGTGTTTAAGATATTGTCATAATGACTTGAGTTTCATACTTCCGTTTTTACGATTTTTGCTCTTGCATTAGAATCCCCAAGAGCATCCCAGTCGATTTTGTTGTAAAATGGGTGGTGCTTGATTTCTTTAATGGTGAGACGTTCCGATGCTTCAAAAATTAAAATACTTTTCAAAAGCGATTTTGCATTATCCGATAAATCACTAGGAATGCTAAGAATGGAATGTGAATAAAATGGTCCTGGATGCCTCGTGTGAAATTCCATTCCAGTCAGCAATTCATAAAGAATAACCCCTAGACTCCACACATCAGCAGCCTGCCCAGCTTCAGTGTCCGGTAGATAGTTGCATAATTCAGGAGCAGTGTAAGGTATTTTAAACTCAACCGAAAATCTCTCAGTTTTGACAGGCACCACATAGCAAAGAACAACATTATCATCATCATCAACAAGGAGATTCTGTGGCCTCAGCCCCTTGACCACCACATTCTGCCTGTGAAAAAATCCAAGAGCCACGATAATCTGAGCTGTCCACATCCTCACGACATTCTCGGGAATTTTCCACAGCTCCTGCTCCATTTCCACTCCACTGTCCTCACTGGCTTCAGGTCCTCTCGAGTAGATTCTGGTCCTCGCGCAGTCATCGTAATCTCTCTCATTAGAAACCTCAGATATATCTATTTTCTCGAAACTCCCCGACGAGCTTTCAGTACTGGATAATTCAGATTCCGATCCCTCAGCACTCTTATCCTCCCCTTCAGGATCGAGATGTCTCCCATTGAGCCTCTCCGCGATGGAATTACTCTTCTTGATAGTAGCATCCACAGATTTGAGTAACTCCTGGGCCTTCTCCAGTAATTCAATGGTGGGTAAATCTTCCTTATACCCACAATTACCTCCAAAATCATCATTAGACTTCGTATCTCCCTCCTTATAACTCCTCCCTCCAGACCCACCAAATAATTCCCCATCGCAGCTTCTGGATCTCACCACTCTATTCCCCTCCATTCCATACCTCTTCTTGATGCTCTCCCAGAGTCTTCCCCTCCTTATGTAATTGAGAATAAGGAAAACAGTGGTCTCAGTTTGAACAAAACCCTGGAGCTTCACCACGAATGGGACATTTCCTCTGAGAATGTAATTACTGATGTCATCAGGCTCGCCGGATACCTTCTCCACGGTTTTAATTATCCTTTCTGCATTCGTTCTCATGTCGCTCGCCAGCATCACTGAATTAACTACCTTGATTACTTTATAATTCTTCAGTTCTTCACTTGGTTTAATTAACAAAGATATATTGCTGTTTAAGTATCTGTTGTAGAGTGTCTCAGCCCTCTCGGTATATTTTTTTATTTTCTCGTGGATTTTTCTCTGACGCAGGGGATCAGGGTCCATCTCAACACCATGCAGCAGATTAGTTATACCGAGTTTGTACTGCATAAAGGCCTCCTCGTGTTCATTCATGGATTCGTGACGATAGCCTGCACTCATGTGGGCAGCGGCTATCAGGACGTATTGATCATAATCCTCTGATTGCGGGTAGTCGATTGTTTTCACGGATTTTTCGGCTCTTGATCGTTCTATTTCTAGGGGCTTTGGAGATTTTTCCAGGACTGCTATTTTTTGGGGTATCAGGGGAGTTAAGTGGGAGGATGCAGGGCTCACCTGACTGTCCTCAGAGGTATCCGAATCGATGGATTCGTTCAGGTCGGCGGAGGTATCTGGCTGCAGGGAGATTTCGAAAAATTTTACGAAATTCTCGTTCGTCGCCAGGGACTGATGTCGCCCAATAAACTCAAGGAGCTTAATTGCACAGTCTCGTCGCTCTTTTATCACTTCTGTCTCAAAACGAGAGAAAAATTTACCTTTTGGAAAGGGAGGAAAGGGGTCTTTGATGGGGAGACGGTGGTGCAAAGCACTCAAGGTTTTATGGAGTTTCTTGAAGTCATTGTAACGCTTCCACACGGACACCTTCGACGCCAGATCTGGGGACGACTTCAGGAATACCTGATGAAGCAATTGTACCTGTACTTACAATTTATTTATCTGTCACTTTTTATGGATTCTTTCTCTCAAGAAAATTGTATATATAATAGACTTGAATAATTAATTGAAATTGAAAACACTAATAATCATTAATAAATTTGTAATTAATGTTCTGGTGATTAATAAGGAGATAGAATGAAATAATGATAGAGAAAGAGATTTCGGATTGGTGTACATACCAATGAGGTGACTTTATAAATTGTAAAGCCTCTTTTATGTCGACTTGTTTCGGTTATGACAAATCGTCTGACCCATTTGTCTCTTGTTGGGGCCATTTCATGTGTCTTAATCGACTTTTGCACTTGGTAACCTGCGTCGAGAAACCAACAATCACATCTTCACAGATTGAGATTCTCGTTTTATTATTTTTGCTTGTTGGGGTTCAAGACATCATGACAATCGTTAACAGCACTAATGCACAGATGTAGAGGGAAAACGTCACTTCTTGTCTCGGGTGTCTCGTGAGGAGTTTTCGTCAATTTTGTTTGTATTTGTGTTAAAGATGAGAAGTAAGGTGAGGTTGGGTTACGTGAGACCCTAGACTATCCTTTCCTTTCCTTTAGTAAAAAAGGTAAAAAACATGCACTGGCAAGTGTCATGGCGGAGAGAATATTTTAGCGGCCGGGGCAGCGCGCTAGTTTATGACTGCCGCTGATATTTGAATTAGAAATTAATTTAGGCAATAATTGTGTCACAGCTAAAAACAATTAAATTCTTGTAAAAAGTGGAGAGTTTTTAGAGACAATACTTGTCTTATTTTCCTGTTGGAATTGTTCGTAACTGATAATACAATAACTAAATATATCAGCAGTTACATAATATGCTCATTGCTTGCCGTGCACAAGCCGACAAATTGCCGACATAAGGTGCTGCACAATTTTATTTAACTTCGCGATTAATTAAACAAAATACTTAATCCAGGCTGAGGTGATATCGTGGAAAATTGCAATGAATTTGATCAATTTGAGAATTATGTCTAGTGACCTACCTTCTGGGGTTCCCCGTACTGTTGAAAATCATTCAATGTCAAATGATTATTATTGTCAGGAATAATGTTATGTTAAAATTCTATTTATAATAAATCAATGGAATACATTTTTATTGAACATAAATAAACAAAAATATAATCATAAAACAATTGCACGAAACATTGTAATAGACTTCCTAGAAATTATTGAAGAAACGAAGGGCTTAATCATCATTTTTTACTCATTCTTTAATCTCTGAACCACAATAATGAAATATTTATGAGCAACTCATCGAAACAGATAACAATTAGATGAAATGATTATGAAGAGGACGACATACCTCATGTATAAGCATCGAATGATTATCACAGCGGAATTTAATCGATTAAATAATCAAACTATAACATGAAATGAATCATTTTCTATAATAGCTATCGAATAATCAATGATATGCGATTTTTTTATCACTTTGAAAATATTTTATAATTAATTCTTCAAATATCAATTATGTGAATGAAGAGCTGACGCAAAATGAGCACTTGAAATGAACATTTCCAAAAAAATTGTCTACAAAAAGAAACAAAAATGACAGCTCACAATTGACGGCAGTAAGTGAGAAAAAGAAACAACGGTATCCGTAAGTGTACCAAAACATTTTTACTCTGAAAGTTCATAATTAGGATCTTCCCTGATCTCCTTCATGGCCTCGAAGATAGTTTCCCATGCGAGCTGATTATCATAACTGGTGCTCTGAGACCTTCTCTGATGTTTCAAAATATTCTTGAGATAGAGTTTGACGCACCTCTGATTTGCCTGTGCCTCAAGGTTTGTGCAATCATATTCCTGGGTGTAAAAGCCGTGATGCTCGTAAAATCTACGCGCAGAATTGAGAGCTGGGCTAAAGAAAAAGCTTGCCTGATAGACAACCCTTCGACTCGTGTGCCATTTTGGATTCTTTGTCATGGGAAAACTAGCCTCCATGTACTCGCAAACAGTCTCTAGCTGCTTGGAAAGATCTCTCAACTGATTGCAGTGCCCACAAATATTCACCTTTGCCCGGTAAATATGATGATTTTTTGACTCATTCATCCAGGAGCCAGACTCTACCATCTCCTCCTCCAGCCTCTCCATCAGGTAACCACCAATCTGCTTCCAGTTCTCATACTCGTGAAAAATTCTTCCCAAAATTACCAGCAGAGCTGTCCTCACACTATCTCGTCTTTCCTGTACTTGCCTCTGATTAATAATGATGGTGATATCAATACTGATATCATAAATAAATGTGTGCTCTGTGTGGGAGGGATCGGGAATTGTCCCAATGAAATCTGCATCGTATAATTGTATTTTTGATGCTTCATCCTCTGACGACGATGGAGATGAGGATGATGAGGCCTCTGAGGTCAAGTCACTTATCGAACTGTATTGGGACATGTTAACCTAAGATTTATAGGGCACAGCCACGAGGTTAATCAATTCAAAGCGAATGAAGAGCTCGAATTTTCGAGTCCCAGTGAATCGTTACGGTCGGAGAGGGGCGAAAGGGGGGGGGGCGTGTTTGAATAATCGACGCCATTCAATTTCACATTTATACAAAATTTACTTTCATCTTCGATAAAAAAAAAAACATTACAACAATTCTCAAATGATCTGATGTAAAAGGCATGTAATTAAGGTTGAACAAATTCAACACCAAGAAAAAAAAAGCAGAATTTCATACATGCCTAAAATCGGAAAATATTGAAGAATATTTCGGCAACTGTTTTTTGGCATTTCCTCTGAATATCGTGAATTTCTAAATGCCTCGATGAATAACAAAACTGAAATTAAGGCAATGATTATTTCTTATAATTATTCTAGTCGTCCTGGTGCTTGCGTTTGGTTCCAGTCATGATCGTCTTTGGGTCCTCGAACTCGAAAGCTTCCCTCCAGGCAAATTGTTGATTGAAAGTGGTTCCGCCTTTTTGACGATCAAGGATCTGCCTAAGCATGATGGAACGAGGATCATTGTCCTGAGAGGTCGTATCCCTCTTCCAGTTGTGAGCTTCATACACCTTGTGGGCAGAGCGTAATCCAGCGAGGAAATGAAATTCCATTTTGTAATCTAGCCAAATACTACACGAGTGGACACATCCGTTGTATGACAGTTTGCCGAAGGTGGGAGTAGTCTCAGCTGGTTTCTCCTTGATATTGACGAGATTTCCCATCAATTGAATTTCCTTCTCGAAGATGCGGCGATCGATCCGAGTCTCCCACTGCTGCTCTCTTAGGAGGGCATCATCAAGAACCCGCAAAAGAGGAGTTGCTAGAAAATCCCACTCTGGATGACTCGCGAAGATGTGCCCTAAGAGCGTGGCACTGGCCGCCTCCAGAATTTTTTCTGAATTATGTCCAGGCACTGGGGTGTCGATTGTCAAGGCGATGGTAATGTGATAGGGGAAGGTTATCTTAGATCGTTTCTCATATGGAAATGATGACGAGGGAGCTTTACCTTTGGATAGGTTGTTTGACATTTTTCCTCGCTTGTTCAGGTCCTTTTGCTGGAAAATTTTCAGTTTTGCAATTTTTTTTTGTAAAGGACTGTCAACGAGATGAGGAGAAAGCCACCGGTGTATCAGAATACCTGTGAAGTTGTTTTTAGAGGTGAACGATATTTTTTCGTCGACTAATCGAAGTGGGAGAAAATCGATGATTACATTCAATTGATTCTCGATTTATTCTCTCACGACTAGTTGATTGTTTTAGGTTCAACGTCCTGGTCTGCCACTGAGAAATAACTATTCGAATTATTCATAATTGTTTTAGCAAGTCAGGCCTTATTCCATTTTAATTGCAATTTCATTCCGAATTTTCTGCAATTTTCATGGATAAGCAGAGAACAATGGAGCAGAAAGTTCCATGAAAAATTGATATTTCACGGATTATTAATGATCAATGGTGAAACGAAATTGCCCATGTATGCACCAAAATCGTTTACAAGTAAATTAATTATTTTGTCAGGTAAATAGTTTTGCGCCTGAACTGCTACACACAAAAGTTGCATTCACAGCTTTTGGATTATTCTCGTTAGATTGCTCTCTCCTCCACTCGGTCAGATCATATTTTTCTATTTTTATTAATTTAATGAATAATAAATAAGGTTTAAATTGTGATGGTGAAGATTTTCATGATGGTCATCACATATCTGGTTATTCCTCCTACAATTTGAACCGGCAGAAGTAGCAGCGGAAGAGACAGCTCAATAGATTTTCCCGGAATGAATTGAAATTACCCAGGAGGTCCACGTGGTAACAGGTACAAGAATAAAGGAAATCTTTTAATACAAACAGGTTCTATGACATCCCATAAATTCGACTCAGTCCATATTGCCTTGTCAAAAATAAAAGAGACATTTGTATAGCTTATAACAATGGAGGTGTCCCTTGAAGGATAGAATATTAACTTCATGACTCAATTGTATGTCTCGGTACTTGGACAGTTTGACGAGGGTCCGCCCCTTTTAACCACCGGATCACCCATCAACCCGTCGGACTAATTCTCGGTGCCCAGGTCATTCAAGTCAATGCAGGGGTAAGGAGTGTTCTCAGTACAATTAAAACTGGTAGATTAAAAGAAATGCCAGGTATTTGCACTAAACATTCAATAGGAAAATTATATAGTCTTTCAAGAGATTTTCACCCGCCGTCGGTTTTCAAGGAATATCTCGGTATCCCCGCCAGATACTGAAATGTTTACAATGATTGAATTTTTATGACTTCAAGTACAATATGGTAATGGCAGGTGCGCAGGTACATAAGCCGCACCTCCCCGTTCACTTTTCGGTAAAAATAACTTAAATAATTCATTGAGATTTAAAGAATTTTAGGAAATTCCACGAGTTAGCATACTAAAAGCAAATTTTCTCTATATTTCGGTTAAAAAATGCTGCATGTGTCAAATAAAATAGTTCGCATATAGATTTTTTCTCGGGCCGGACATCACATAAGTCAGCGCTCGATATTAAAAAATGTATAAATTTAATAAATTCATTCCCATTTCATTTCATTCCCAGCCATTTTATTTCAGCTTTATTCCAATTACTTCGAACTCGAATTCTGATCTATCCTATCATAAAGAGTAGGCATAAAAGATTGCACTACGCATATTTTTCCGTACTGCTTCTGAAGAGTTCTCGTCTCAACGGTATATAATGCCCCTATGGAGTAATAGTCTATTATTTATTTTTTAATTTTGATAAATTTAATTTAATTGGATAATTTTTCATTCTGTGTGAATTGGAAAAATAGATAGAATATAATATATTTGTCAGCAGTGAAAAACACATAAAACATAATTTTCAAAGGTAATTGATAATTCATTGAGACAATTTTCCGTTGTCCTTTGCGTCCTGCAAAAGCGTCAGGCCCATAGATGGGGACTCAATCGGGCCAGGTGGAGGGGGCAGGGTCGGTCAGGGGTATATAAGCGCCCCGAAGGCCCTCGGAACAATCAGACCTTCACTTTTCCGTCAAACGGACAACAAGTCAAGAATCAGCCACCTCACTCTACTATTTTATTTTAAATATTAAATAAAATAATGGCACAACGAAGTCTTCATCAAGCCGTCCACCAGATGAGGCAGAACATCCAGTTGATGGAGGCACTTTTCCCGGATTTTTTCGATGGAGAGAGTCATCCTGAGGTGAACCTGTGGCCAGAGAGGGCACAGAGTCTGGAACATTGTCCCAGGGGAAACGGCAATCAGCAGAGGGTGCATCGGAGGCCAGGACGATTTCCATCGATCAGGGAGATCGAGGAGCGACGGAGGAGGAATCGATTGCATCAAATTGCATTGATCCAGGACGAGGAGGAGTGCGTTGACAGATAAATTAACCCTGACCGCTTCAACCACTCGAGTTCACCGTTTTTCCTCGACCATTTATTTTTGAGAACATCACCGTCTCCATCAATTTTTTTGGAAAAAACACTCTAGATTTTATTTAATTCAACTTTGAAGTTTTCACCGAATTATAAATATTGAATCGATGTAAAATTATTTGTAAATAGACTTGTACATAATTTTTTTAATTAAAAGCTTGAAGGTTTACTTTATGATTCTTTGAACATTATTTAACTCCCTCCACCCTCCCACGCATTATCAAGCCGGATTATCAAGATTTTTTGAATTAATTAGACGATTTTACATGTAGAGTTTATTTAAATTTCTTCTTGTGAAAATAACAAAGATCAACGTAAAATGAAAAATAGCATTTAATTAAAAAGGAAGAGTGAAGGAAGAATGGAGAAAAGTGGGAATAATAGTTCGAAGAATGGGATTTGACAAGAGCTGAGAATCGATTACCATTTGCTCGATTATTCGAGTGCTTCAAACTGTGCAATGACACAAGGATCATTGGTGAATTTGCGAATCTTGAGCTTGAGATTCTTGATATGAGAGTAGATGCTACCCACAGTGCGATTGGAAAGCCCCTAAAATCGTAATATCCATAAATCTAATAATCTATTGAAAAAGATCGCCATACAAATCATTTGCACTCACTTCTAGAGACATTATTTTTTTGCAGACCGCCTTTTTATAGGCGTCTAAAATGCAGTTATTTTCAACGAGATACGTAATGATCTGCTTATCCTCTTCGGAGCTGTACTTGAAGCGCTTACCTTTACTATAATAATAAGTTTCAGAAAAAAATAATTGTTTTATTAATTGAAAAATATTTTCACTCAATGCATCGTGAACGATAAATTATTGAATAAAACCAGAAAAGAAATTCAGACCTTTTAGTCACCAAGGCTTTGTTCTTCGGAGCTCGCACTCCCTTCACAGCTCGAGAATTTGAACATTTAGATTTTCCGTTTGTTGGAGAAAATCCACAGCAAGATTTTGTCCTAATGCTTGGTGTAGATTGACGTAAAGTCCTGATGCTTCTCTCCGCGGATTTTTGAGCAGTAATTTTCTCAAGGTCAGTATTATTTATTTGACCCACGTAAGGGGGGACTCGCCTGGTCACCAGAGGTGTCTCTGGTGGCAATTCCTCCTCTGAAGTTGATGATCTCGTGATGCAAGAAGAAGTGCACGACTGCTGTAAATCATCTTTTTCGTCACTGTCGACCTGATCTTTTGAACTCCGATGAGTCGTAAAACTGCTCCTCATGAAACTCTCATTTTTATTCTCAATCCTGGAATTATCTTGATTGGTATTCTTCTCGTTGATTAATTGATTAAACCATTGGGTTACACTCTTATTAACCGATGACGCCTTCTGAGGGTCTGGTCTCGATTTCGTTGTAAGTCTGAAATGAAAAAATGAATAGTGGAATTGACTGTTTTTCAAAATGTTTCACTTCGAAATGAATGAAGAATTTAATGAGTTTAAATACACTCACAAATATTTTCCAATGTCCTGCAATTTACCCTCTTTTATACTGTGGTATAGCCAGTGGACATGAAATCGTAAATAATTGGTCCCTGGGACACGATCGGGCGTTGACAAAACAACGGTCTCCAGATCTGGAGGTGTCACGATTCCTCCAAATTTCTAAACAAAATTAAGTAATTGATATTTCCTTTCAAATGAGTGAGGAGTGGATTCAATTAAAAAAACTTCATTGTCAGACAATTTTATTATTGAATATTTTTTCACTCACACGAATGATCCCTGCAATCTCGAGAAAATCTTGTACATCGAATCCGTCTAAATAGAAAGTTATAGGATTGTTGTTGGATGACAACAAATCCCTATTGACATTAACAATTGAAAAATTATTGTTGACACCAAACATAACGTCCTGTTTTAGTTAAAAAAAAATCGAGGGCAGAATTTTCGAATCTGCGCAAATATGTATTTGCCCTTTTTCTTGAACGTTTAATCGACTTTTTACTATCCTTCACCAATAGCAAAAATCCATTAATTAATATAACTTATTCAGATAGACACAACCTCTGGAAATTTATGATAATAAATATACTACTGATATAATTATGAAACGGATTCCTGCTTTATCGATAGTCAACTCGAAAACACAGAATATTCAATTGAAATATATATGATTTATTCCGTTTAATTAGTAGTTTAAGCGCATTATCGTCCAATTATTTGTAATTTGTTCTCAATATTTCAGCAGTAGAAAATAAAATGAACAACAACTCATTGATTATTAATGTAACTGAAAAAAACATCCACACATTTTAAAGGCAAATATGTATTATTCAATGAATTAATAATTTTTTAATTAATTCAGACATTATCCCTCTGACGGTTTGAATTGCAAGAGAATCAATAGGTACGTCACAATCATGCCAAAAATCTGAAAATATACGAGCATTGAACAATTGACAATTTCCTTACTTAAAAGTAAAACTTTCAATTCCTTACTGAATGCAGCAACGAGCAATCCAAAGTAAAAACTCCACATGCGGTAAATTGTACTCTCTTGTGCAACAATTCCACTGAAAAATTATTTAACTCGGTCTGGATATTTCTATTGAAGAAATAGGTCTCGGAAATTTCATAAATGATGTCGGCAGTTCGATTCGCCTAAGAAAGAGTCATGAGTAAATAGAAAGAGGGGAAATCAGTGCAATTAAAAAAAAATTTATACCTCTCCATGAAATGTATTAACACTAGCACTGAGTACTGTTACAGGATATGCACATGACAATATCCAGAATAATGAATTGAGAGTGTCAAGACTCCATAAAGGGGCTTCCAAGTTAATGAGAGTAATGATGAAAAAATAAGTGCTCTCAACACAACTACAGCAGCAGTAGAAAATCACAATTAAAACGGGGAATGAAAAAAATTTTGAAACTTGACAAGAGATGTGGTGGAGCTTGTTTCTGGCTTTTTTAATCATTCCGAAATTCTCTATGGTGAGGCGAGCGTTTAAGGTGCATCCGGAGAATATTGAATCCTCTTCGAAGTCAATTGGACATTTGGATATAGTGATGAATGCGTTGTTGAGTCCTTGTAATCGATCTTTAAGGATATGAATGATCAAGCTGTATTGTATCAAGGACCAGCACAAAACTGCTGTGCACAAGGCCGAGGTGATGAGGAACAGAGGATCAATCACTCTGAGTGATGAAATCACAATTCCCATCCAAATTAATATCATGAGAATAATTACAATGAACTTCTGAAAGTCACCAAGGCCTCGATTTCTCATGAGAAACAGTTTGCACTCGTATTCTTTATCAAATTCACTCAATCGATTTCCGATTTTTATTATGTGCCCTTGTAGAATGGAGTAAAATGTGATTATTACGATAACAAGTGTATTACCAGCTGCACCACGTGCTATTACAATTGACATTACAGTCTTTGAGTTATTGGGGTATGACACTTCGGTCATAAAGGGTACAGCAAATATAATTATCGAGGAGAAGAATATGATTAACAGGATGTTGTAGGCGCATCTCACATAGGAGTACGATAGTATAAACGTATAGTTTAATTGTTTTTTTCGTGATTCGGGTGAAATTTTTATCTGACAAGGGGCTAGACCCAGCACTGAAGAGATTATTCTGGCGATTTGGAACATGATGAGGCACATCCTGGGGGGACTTTTTCTATCAGACATCCTAGCATATACGATGCCATCGAATTTCTCGGAAGGACTGATAATTCTTTCACTTCTCTCAATTCTCTTAATTCCCAAGGCACGCATTTGTCTCCCGGAGTGACTCCAATTCACTAATGGTTCATCGCAATTTTCCATTAGCGAATGGAATTTGCCGTTATGAAAAACTCAATGAAGAATATGAAAAATGTATGACAAATAGGACAGCGAATTGCAGTTCTTATTGAATTCCTGTCAATTCTATAAGAATTCGATTCTAACTGACGAAAAAAAAATCACAGAATTTCCAGTGGAATTATCGAATGTAAAGCGTAAATGAAAGAGAAATCTCAATTAAATGGTGATGAAAAAAAGAAAAAAAATCAATTTCAAATATCAGTGTTTGACTTTGCTTTTATTTTTATCATTAGACTGCTGAATTTTTATTGATGAGGTTGGGAAATAGATTTTGCAGATCCTCTATTGGCATTGGCCATACGCTCTGCGAAGTCCAAATACCTTTGTGCCCTTTCCTCTGCGAATTGCCTAATGACATCAGGATCATCTGTATAGTCTGCAACATTATCTCGGAGATAATCCTTGAAGTGACTCTTCAAGCCTTTCCACGTGCGAGTCGGATTTGTTAGGAGCTGCAACGAGCAAAAATTATAACTGTTGAAATGAATAAATGAGCGTTGAGTGGAATTTACTCACTTGCTTCGCTTCCATGTTCTTCCAAAGCAGTGATGATCCAACGAAAGAGATCATCTTGTTATTAATTATATAATCCATAATTTTTTGATTTTCTTCTGGCAAGTATTTACGTTTTACCAATAAATTTGCATGGCTCGGAAAAAGTCTAAAATGAGAAAATAAGTTTCATCCTCATCATATTTTCATATTTTCCACCATGTTTTTAATTTTAATCAATGAAAAAATAATACAAATACACAATAAAAAATAATTATAATAGATTAAAATTCTGTTTCTTTTTCATTCATCATCGGAAATTAAATTTCCGAAGTTAATATTTCAATAGCTGAAATTCAATTTCAAGCGTACTCACTCGACTTTTTTTTCGTCGGCTCTTTCTCTAGAAGGTGAAGAAGAAGACTTTCTCTTCTGCTTCCTATTTCTGCTCCTACGGGAAGTCTCTTGCAGGTGCTTTTCATCTCTAGCTGCGATTGCTTCGATCGAGGGCTCTGCAGCTGCTGCTGTCGATTTATACAGATTATTTTCGCTTTTAGATTTCCCAGGATCATTTTCAGAACTAGATTCAGTGCGTGTTTTATGGTTAATCGAATTGAAATCCTCGGCTTGGAGTGAACTGTTCGTCTCAGTCAATGGAATCCTGAAATTATGAAATATTAATACCTGATTATCATAATTACGAGGAATTAATTATTATTTAAAATTAATAATCTAGAATGAAGGACATTCTCACCTGTAATCATCCAATTTCTGAAGTTTACCTGTCGTCACACTGTCAAAAAGAAATTTGCTATCGAAATGAGAATAATTTTCACCGATTGGAGCCCCAGGGTACGAAAAAACGAGGGTATTATCCCCTGGTTCCGACAACTTTCCACCAAAAGCCTGAAAAAGCACAAAAAACCCAACGCCACATGTTTCAATGATGCAATAATATAAAAAGGTAGAAAGTCATACTTCAACAATCGTAGCCATCTGAAGAACCTCAATCTCGGTGTAACCAACTAAAGAAAATCTCATGGACTGACCATTAATGCGAAATAACTCGTAAGTGAATGCCATTATTGATGGAAGCAATAATAAAACATCATATCGAAGAATTCAGAGTACAAAAATTTAATATGTCGAATACTCAGGAGAGGGCAACACTCTATTTTTTTTCTACAAGCCGGTGAATGACCTTGATAAATAGTAGATGACAAAGGATCCAACATGATTCATAAAATTGTATATAAGAAGTCCAGTTTTATTTATCTGAGAAAAACCCTAATTACGTGTCGTGTGATTGTGATTACAAGAGGTATGAAGGTGAACAGTTAAATGATAAATATAAAGGAGTTTTTAGTAATAAAATAATGCATCAACTCAATCTCCCACTCTTCTCGTATCATTTCACCCATTTTTCACTATTCCACTATTATTGTAGAATCCCTTCTACCTCCATGTTGACGTACTTTCCACAAGTGCTTTAACAAAAAAATTGAACATTTTTTATAATTCGATAAATATTTTGATCAATATGTTGCCCTATGACTGCATTGATTTTTTACTCACGATCGTCTCTTCTTAGTTGGCAAGTGATTCTCCTCGCTGGAACAATCAGAAAAATAATTATTAACGTCTCTCTTTCTCTTAGATGGTTTACTCTCAATTTCTTCCATACAATTTCCTCTCGGGGACGAGGAAAATGTTAGTCTCTTCGTACTGTAGCTTGTGAATTCCCTATTCTCTCCTTCGTTGTTATTGAACACAGCCGATTCTGAGGCAGTGTTAGTAATCGACGAGTGCAAGTGCCAATCTGACATACTTTGTATGAATTCTCGAGTGTTTTTCTCCTTCGCCATTTCGGCGTAAGACGATACAGATACAATTTTCCATGGTTTTAAAAGGTTAATATTTGGGTTCACAACAGCAACGCATGTGCCAGCGGGATGTGAAGCCTCGTGATCCGATGGATCCATTAATTCTTCTTTAATAACAGGAATCCTGAAAATTTAACAGCAAAAACACCAACATTAATAATGGCTAATTATGAGGTGAATCTGAATGAAATTTTACCTGTACTGTTCCAGGTCTTGAAATTTTCTGGCCACCATACTGTCGTGTAAACACTGAATATGATATCGAGAATACTCTGTTGTGATGGGACGTCCAGGCTCCGAAAAAATGATTGTGTTTACGTCAGGTGCTGACAATTTTCCACCAAATGCCTAACAAAAAAATTTCATACTTCACCCATAAATCAAATTTTATTCCAAAACCTGGTATACTTACTTCTATTATCTTAGCGATTTCATTAATCTCGTGATTAGCGTAACCATCCAAATAAAACTTCATGGGCCGTTCATTTATAAAGAATAACGAGGGATTAAAGAAAATTGCTCCATAAGAAGTCATTCTGCCACTTTTGTTATTTCGTAATATTATCTAAAGGTGAAAAAAAATTATAGCTCTTATAACCGAGAGTAATGGTTGGGTGACTAAGGTGTTGCTCCGGCGGAAACCCAAGCCAATCCTAGCTAAGCAACTTTTCGTTGGGTTAGTACTTGAATGGGTGAGCGCTTAGCAACACCGGGAACACCGGGAACACCGCTCCTTAAAAAATTACTGAGCGGTGTACAGGGGGGCATGAAAATGGAGGAGATATTCACTGAAATGTGAAAATTTGAAATTTTTTAAAAAGTATCAGAGGAACATGAATTCGTAGTACCTCACCCCAATGCCAGTCGGGTCACTAATCAACTGAAATCGATTTTTGTGAGACGAAAAAAGATGAAACAAGACGGAAAAAAAAAACAATTCAATTTTTACCCGCCACCTCACATTTTTCAACATTTATTCGAAGAATTTTTTATGAAACTTGAAATTCATTCAAACAGGGAAATAAAAAAACTTACTTCAGCGAAAAGTATTTTATTGTCAGAAGTTTTAATTATTTTAATCAATTGAGAGAATGTAACAGCAAAATAGAGATGAATTCATCATTCATCTTGCAGAGAAGCTATGATTGTTCCATAGTGGAGGAATGTCGCGAAGATTCATATAAAAAAATAATGTTCATGAACGAAATGACATGGCGTCTCTAAAGAGACTAGTAGCTATCGGACTGATCTCCGTTTTCCTCGGTTTTAAAATATCGGATGATATTTTTGAGTTTCCTGTTCTCTCTTTTAGCGAGTTGCGCAATAACATCTGGATCTGTTGTGTACTCGACATATCTCGGCAAAATAACTCTATCAAAATGCTGGCGTAGACCACTTGCGTTGCGTGGTGGATCTTGGAATGCCTACAATAGTTTCAAATATTAGTGCAAATAATGTGAATTTCACAATTCTGTTTGTCTGAAGCAATTACCTCTGACGCTGCCATCTGTTCCCAAACATAATGAGAATTCGTTTGGGATAGGAAATCGTTGTCAATTAGATATTGAAAGATCTTCATATTCTCTTCATATGAATAATGCCTGTCAATTGGATTCAGTGGAAATAAATTATTAAAAAACAATTCTGTACATTTCAGAAGAACTTTGAGCATAAAAAAAGGCGTTTTAGGAAGGAAGAGGAGGGAATAGTCAGTCGTACCTCTTTGTGTGGAGACGTTTCTTCACCTCTGGAGAAACTTTTTCGTTCTGTTTGCAGCTCGCCTCACCCATAGGATTAAGATTGACCTCTTGATCACTAAGATCAGTGTCCACAATCACTTCTACGATGGAGCCTCTGACATTATGATCTGGGGAATCATCGCCGAATTCGGCCAAGGGAGATCCTGATATTGAAGAATAATTCGCACAGTTCTTAGAGTCTTCTGGCTCTTTGAGAACTGAGTGATTTTCATTGTACTCGAAGGAGGAGTGGCTGCTGTTAAACTGTTTGTACATCAACTTCTTCCTCTTCTTGCCATTCTCCCATAAATCTTTTCCTGGTCCTGAGGAAAAGGCATGTTTTTTCCTCTTCTGCTGATTCCTAACCTTCTTCTCCTATAATTAAAGCCGGTTTGTTGACAATTAAGATTTCGATTAATATCTTGGAATTTGAGAGATAATTTTCGGAAAATATTACAAATCATAACCTTTTTTCCCTGTGCCAATTGCAGAGATCTTTTGTGGGATTCACGGACTGTTCCATCACTTGTCCGATTTCTCTCATAAACATTGGGTGATAAATTCTCCTCAACGTGAGAATTCCCAGAGTTGTCAGATTTAGAAGCATCCAAATGCTCGATGTCCAACTTTTTTTCTTGAAAATTTCTCGTCCAACTGTCGCGATTACTTAATGATCTGCTGATGGGAATCAATGGTTCGAATTTCTTCGGGATTTTCTCATTGGCAAACGAAGAAACAGGCAGTGCTCTCGGCGGAGTCTCAGAATTTTTCATCAATCTACGAGAACATGAGGGATTTGGAATAAATGGAATTAATGGAACAGAAAAGCCCTGCGAACTCACAGATATTTGCCAATATCCTGCAGTTTCCTCTCCCTTAGGCTGTCGTGCAGCCAATTTACGTGAAAACGTGGGAATCTCTGAATGTCTGAAGGAACTTCTGATTCCGAGAGGATAATAGTTTCTTCATCCGGCGACACCACGGTTCCTCCATACCTCTGTATATTTATTTAATAACAACAAAGGATCGTACAACTCGCGGAGAAAGTGCTATTCTTTTTATTAATACAATAAAAATAAAATACTGAAAAAAACTTACGCTGATAAGATTTGTCAGTTTGACGAACTCATGCGGGACAAAACCGTCGAGGTAATATTTACCCCGACGCCCTTCGACATTCAATAATTTTTTGTTTTCGAGTGCCAAAAGATCGACTTTGATGAGCCTCACTTGACAGACTTTCATCATAACTACTAACTGCAATAAAATGCGCAGTGAAAATCCAAATAAGTAAATCTTCGTTGTATCTATTCCACCACCAAATTTGATGCCGGTGAATTGAAATTTCGTTAGTGCGAGACTGCCAATGCTCAAAGCTTATCAAAGAGTAGAATAACTCAAATAATTACCACCTGTCACCCCAAATTTACCCAATGCAATATTGCAATATCACACTATGGCAATTCTCTTCAAATTGTTACATGTGATTGACAAATAGAGGTGATCAAGAAGGAAGGCGTGGTTTTCAGGAATTAAGGCCGGTGAAAATTCAAGGTTATGTTGAAAAATTGCGCATAATGCTGTGCGCTGGAGATTTTTGAATCCAAAAAGAGGAAGATAATGTTGTCGAGCAGGAAAAAATACATCAATAATTATCAAAAAAAAAAATACTTTCACAAATTTTTATATATTTGGCCAATGAGAAAATAAAAAACTGCAATTTTTCGGAAGAATCACATGAGCAATTAGAAATTAGAATTATTCACTCTAGAAAGAAGTACATCAATTGGGCTGGGAGATTTTCATCAATACCATTTGGATGTGTAACTTGATTTTCTTTCAAGAAAAAATAAAATTTTATTTTAGTAATGAAAGAGTTGAATAGCAAGGAATTTTTGTAGTCGAATGGATTTCTCAGAAAGCCGTTCTTGATATTTCTTCTTAAAATCCATTTTTTTTTGCTTTATCAATTGATAATGGTTGATCACTCACTGTCGCTATCCATTTGGTCAGAGATTTTTGGTGGGCATTCGTGGTAGATAACACAGCAGCTCTGATTGCATACGCAAATCAATTTTCTCCTCAATTCCACATAAGCTTTTTGTACGGAAGGCGGCTCACGGACGTATCGTCTCTTGGCGATGTCGTCAGAGTGCTTGAGCATTGGTGTCAGGTCCCTTCCACTTTTTTTTCCCTTCTCCCGGAGGCTTCCATCTTTACGTATGACACTCTCGAAATAGTGACTGGTCTGTCGTATTCTCTCTACTGAAAACTTGAATACGCAGTCGTGGCACTCGTACTTATGGATTCTATCAACTTGTTTAATAAGGCTTGTCTCTTTCTTATCAGGTACGTAGGATTTTGTCGCTGTCTGTTGACAATTACGGGTGTGCAGGAATACTGCACTGCATTTGCATTTATGAAGCTGTCCAGCTTCCAGGAATTGGACGTTCTGGGCGTTGCTGGGATGATATTTGCAGGTGTGAATGAATGTCAAACCGCAGCTCTTGCATATTGCTTGAATTTCGTGACTGATAAAAATCAAAATAGCCAATCATTTTTTCATTATCACCAGAAATAGTCATAAACAAAATAATAATTATTCCAAATGATGACAAGATGAAGACCGATAAAATAAAACAGTATTAGCGGGGAATATCCTTTCAAGAATATCCACTGAATTGGGGAAATCCCAGGCTGGCGATCGATTGCCAGCGTCCGGAATTCAAATTTCTTATTTCATATGTACAATTCACTATTTAAAAAATGGATAAACCGAAATAATTGGGAATTGGTTTCTGTTATATTAATATTTGTAATAAATGATTTATTTATTTATATAATTATTCAATATAGAAACCTTGTGCTGGTGGCTTCAGGTGGACGAGTCTCAGTGTGCCTAACCTCAGGAATATGCACAGATGGAAATTGAGCGAATGGTTTGCGCTCAAACTCCTCAATAATCTGTTCTGGAAGCCTCTCCTCTGTGACAAGTTCTTGGTATTGCTCTTGATACTGCTCTTGGTACTGCACGTGGTAGTGTTCCTGGGGTGTGCAATTATAGGCTGTTGAATTTTCGAGAGGCTGGTAAAAAGTCGATTGAGAGGAATCTGGCAGCTGAACACTATCCTCGGGAACCATGAACTCAGTATCAAATTTTCGCACAGGCGGTATCGATAAATTCTCCTGGGAGACAACTGAAATCTGTGGCATCCATTCAGATGGTGGCATTTCTGTGGAAGTCGGTGGCTCTGGTGGATGGATATTAGGGGTTGTACGTTCTGGGGATGGCTCTTCCAGGTTCACCAATTCGACATTCATTGGTCCTGATTTCTTCGCCATGCGCCTCTTTTGAGTCCTCATTTTATTGTTTGAACATTCGACGATTTGAATCTCATTGGGTTCTACCTTGACCGATGGTCGTTGAGTGGAGGGAAAACCCCAGTATGAATTTGACATTTCCTTTTTACAATGAAATCTCGATCTCTTTGACTCTCGACCCAAGTTGTCAGCGCATTTGTCCCATCTTGCTCCCCTAGATTCATCAACATGTTCAAATGATTTATTCAAAGTCAGTAGTAAAAAGGTAAAGATATTGAGGATAAAAATTCAGAAAATTCTTCCAAGACAATAATTGAGAGAATATCAAATGGCGAATGGTATAGTCTACCTGGGGGACTCATGCGATTTGTGTTTATGACGTTTGTGGGACCTCTTACTCCCGCTTTCATCGGATCGCGGATCAACGCTCAGAGATGCTCGATTAGAACTCGAGGGTCTGGGATCAGCACTCGAGGTTCTGGGGGTGTGATGCCTGTGATGTCTTTCACATCCTGCAATTCGGGACAGATCTTCGGGTTCCTCTCGTCTCGGGTCTGAACGATCTCTGGAGCGTTCAGTTTTTATCCTCCGAGGATTGAAATTATTGTCCGCGTAAGAGTAACGATTCCTTTCCCGCTCATCTAAGTACGAATGCACAGGGAATCATTTTTTCATATTTTTTTTTCTAGAGAAAGTAATGAGTCAAAAAACGCATCAATTAAATTAAATTAAAAGATAATGCTTACATGCCACTTTGTACTCATCGTGAGAGGATGAAAACTCTCGCGTCATATTGTCTTGATAATTGTATCGTCGGTAATTCTCGGGGGTATCTGTCATCCTCTGGAATGAAATCCAGGCAAATCCAGGATGGAATATGGAAGGTTATGACAATGAACAATAAAGTGATAACTAACATTATTTGAATTCAACATTTTTCTTAATCATCGATTTACAATGAAAATATAAAAGGACTTTCTTATCTCATTAAATTCCATATAAGCCGCCAAAATTTCTACTAATTCATATAAAAAATCTCCACTAAACACTGATCTTCATTACATAAATGTCTTAATAAACTAATTTATTTGGAGGATTGAGGTTAAGAAGTGGCAGCAATCTCTAATGATTGGCTTCGTTGTACATAAAAAACGAGTGAATTTAGTAAGACATTTTTAAAACATTGAACATTCACCATTAGTCCCACAGTTTTTACACACATAATATGTTTATAACTGAAGAATTGCAGAGAAAATTGGGCATTTGAAATTATGAATGACAGTTACTTGTATTTTTCTTTTGAGTTAACTCACAACACATCGGTACACAGAATGCTTCAACAAAATGGTCGCTAAATCCGATTAACTCAAACTAAAAACTAGCCTTAAAATGTTATAATAACGGTTGCCTCTGCGTGTAGAGTGTGAAGAAAAATTTGCTTTATAAAAATTCAGGCGACAAGAGTCTTTTATTTTTTACTATTTATGGGCAAAGTGGTGTTCTTTACAGCCAACTTTCGGATTGCTATAAAATTTCTTTTCTATCGTATACCCTTTTCGATTTTTATGAGTCCCTTATCATCTTCCGTGTACCTGTGCTTTTACCGGACTCTCCTTCAACAATGAAGCCGTTGTCGGATCACTATTTGCTGAAAAGCAATGGTTATCCAGACATTGACAAAAATTTTGTTTAAAAAAAAAATACGCTTCATCGTAAGTGGTCCAACATTTTTTGCCCATGTCATTAGCTATCCGACTTTTTTAAAAATAAATTTATATATTAAATTTATATATTAATTTATATATATATATTTCGTTGTCAACAAGTATATAAGGAATCATCATATAAAAAAATCAAGAAAACATACCTGGAAATTTCAAGATGAACAGAGTTGATTTTTTATCATCGGCAAATGTTTTCTTTTGCATCCAACTTTCAAAGTACGGTTTACTAGATATTATTATTCTTATTTTTTAAATACTGAATTCCCTTTACTACTAAGAAATCGCTGAACTTGGCTCGTTGCAATTGTTCTCATTCAGAATTAATTTTCAAATTCTACACTTGAACCCAATATCAACAAGTGTTCAGTGGTTGCCAGATTCAGACGCTGTAGATATAAACACTCAACCAAAGAGGATTGGCTGAAGTAGAGTCTCAGTTCTGGGGGTTTGAGTGACCCCAGCGGCATCGTAGTACTGCACCCCAAGAGAGGGAGGGCTCCACACGCAATGCTGGGGTGTTTTTCTTTTATTAACCAAGTTTTTATTGCAATGCCGGGGTCCATCAAGTCGACGGGGTGAATTTTATTTTCTGCAGTATGAATGCTTCTTGTTTTTTATTTGTTTAACTGAAATTTAGCGGACTGTAGAACGTGCGGAAGGGGGAAACCACATCTTGTGGAATTTCAACGAAAAAAATTATTCAATATGTTGAACATATACCACTAATGAATTAATATTTTTAAACGAGCGCGTTGTCCTAGCGGTAACGTGCTTGCCTACCACGCCAACGGCCCGGGTTCGATTCCGGCATCATTCAATTTTTTTTTTATTTTCAAAATAATTCCAATTTTTTTTTTGTTAATGGCAAATCAATGGAAATATCGTTTAACAATTGAATATTTGAAAATCGAGAAGATATCCAGTGAAATTGAAAAATTAGCAATTTTTTAAAACGATACTTTTGCAATATATATACTCCTAATGAAATTATTTTATTGTAATGGTGCGTTATCCTAGCGGTAACGTGCTTACCTATCACGCCGACGGCCCGGGTTCGATCCCGCCGTCATTCAT